CCAGAGGCCTCCGGGGTCCACGCCCGCGGGCTCCTTGGACCGCCCCGCCCCGGCCGACCCCGCCCCACCCAGACTCCCGCTCGCGAGCCGGTGCCGAAGCACGAGGCACGTACGCCCCCTGGTGGCCGAGGCGGGGACGGCCGCGTGGGCTCCGCAGCCTCGCCCCACCCCGCCTGCCCCGCCCAATCCCACCCACCTAATCTGCCCTCCTCGCCCCGCTCTGCTCACCTGCTGGGCTACGCTGTCCACGCCTCGAGCCCGGGACAGCTCGAATTCCGCGGAGGACAGGTGTAACCCACAGAGTGATTCCCTTACCGGGGCCTGCTAGACTCCGGCCCCATGAGGCAGGGCTGGCGGCGTTTTCACGTCCTGGAAGTCACGGCCCTTAGGGGACCGAGGCGCTGCCCAGGCGCCCCTGACTGCCAGCTCCGGCCCTGCCACCCAGTCCGCCCCCAGGGACCGGACTGGGTGCGCCGTCCACCCTTCCAGTCCCTGGAACATGATCTGCGGATTAGGAGGTTCTGGGTTCTGCCCTAGATTCCCAAGCAAAGTTGCTCCTTTGCTCTTGTGACTTGCCTGCTTTGTGGTTTTTGTTTTTTGTTTTGTTTTGAGACGGAGTCTCGCTTTGTCGCCCAGCCGGGAGTGCAGTGGCACGATCTCGGCTCACTGCAACCTCCACCTCCCAAGGTTCGGTCGATTCTCCTGACTCAGCCTCCCGAGTAGCTGGGATTACGGATGTGTGCAACCACGCCCGGCTAATTTTTGTATTTTTAGTAGAGACAGGGTTTCACCATGTTGGCCAGGCTGGTCTCTAACTCCTGACCTCAAGTGATCCACCCACCTCGGCCTCCCAAAGTGCTGTGATTACAGGCGTGAGCCACTGTGCCAGGCCTGCTTCTCTAAAGATCTCTACTGCACGGAGAGGCTGCTATGCCCCCGCTTCTGAATAGGTAGCCAGCTGTGGCTATCATCACATTTTTCGTGGTATATAATTTTAATTAATATTTAATTTTAAAACGAGTGTAAATTGTTCTGCAAAACAACTTTGTTTTGTAGGACCACGTGTCACTTTAAATGTTTAAAGTGTAGCTTCCAAATTGAGATGTGCTTTGTGAAATGCCCCCTGGATTTCAGTTAGCACAAAAATAAGAATACAAACTATCTTATTCTTTTACTGTGAATTACATGCTGAATTTTTGTTGTTGTTGTTTTTTGAGACAGAGTCTCACTCTGTTGCCCAGGCTAGAGTGCAGTGGCGTCATCTTGGCTCACTGCAACTTCTGCCTCCCAGGTTCAACTGGTTCTCCTGCCTCAGCCCCCCAAGTAACTGGAATTACAGGTGCCTGCCACCATGCCCGGCTAATTTTTGTATTTTTAGTAGAGACAGGTTTTCACCATGTTGGCCAGGATGGGCTCGATCTCCTGACCTCGGGTAATCCGCTTGCCTCGACCTCCCAAAGTGCTGGGATTACAGGCGTGAGCCACAGTGCCCGACCTCACGCTGAAATATTTTTGATATATTGAGTTAAATGAAACATTTAACCTTTTTAAAAAAAGGTTTGAATGTTTTTACTAGATTTACTAGAACTAAAAACATTTATTAGAATGTTTTTAATGATAAATGTAGATCACATTCTATTTCTGTATTTCTGCACTAGGAAGAGGGTTTGAGGAAAATCTAGAGTTTTATTTTCTGACCCTACTGCAGGCACCAGAGGTCGAGGACACCATTGTCAGTGGAAATGGGGATGTGTATGGGGAAAGGCCCTGATCCTCAGAGACCATGCTCATAGAGTGAGCCCTGGGCAGGAAGTCAGCCAGGGAGCATCTCATAGGGCCCAGGCGGCATGAGGGTCACACAGACACAGGTGCCCACAGCCCCAGCGGGCATTGGGGGCAGGCATTAAGCTTGGCACAGCATGATTCTTGGAGGGAACACATATGGATGGCCTGAGGACCCAGGTTCTAGCACAGTTATGCCACTGTCTGTGTGACTAAGTCACCTGGCACAGCATAAGCAGTTAATGTCCTGATCTACTTACCGAAGGGCTCACTGCAGTGAGTGAGGCTCGCGAGGGGAAGCCCTCTTCAGCCCTGCCCATGGTGGTCCCCTCTGGAGGAGGGCATGTTTCTGGAATCCTGATTTGTTACCAGCACATAATTTTCAAATTGGCAGAAATGCATCGTTCAGACGGGCGCAGTGGCTCATTAGAACATTCTTACTTTTGTGTTAACTCTGAAATCCAGGGAGTATTTCACAAAGCACATCTCAGTTTGGACGCTACGTTTTCAACATTTAAAGTGACACGTAGTCCTACAAAACAAAGTTGTTTTTCAGAACAATTTACACTCGTTTTAAAATCTGATCCCAGTACTTTGGGAGGCCAAGGTGGGCAGATCGCTTGAGCCTAGAAGTGCAAGACCAGCCATGGGCAACATGGCACAACCCCATCTGTATAAAAAATACAAACATTAGCTGGACGTGGTGGCATGTGACTGTAGTCCCAGCTACTCAGGAGGCTGAAGTGGGAGGATCAGTTGAGGCTGCAGTGAACCATGATTATGCCACTGCACTCCAGCCTGGGCAAGAGTGGGATCGTGTTTCCAAAAAAAAAAAAAGAAAGAAAGAAAAAGAAAAAAATGCATCTTTAAAAGCCTTGTCCTGTGCGTGTGAACACACACGAGTGGAGTGCAGCAGGTCCTGAAGGGCTGCTTACAGAACTGAGGAAAGCGGAGGCAAGGCTGCCCACAAAGAGGCTGAAGCTTCTCCAAGGAGCCTCTTGCTGCGCGCTGGCCAGCCTTGGTGGCCAGGACCCCAGGAGAGGAAGCCGAGGGAGGCCTGAATGCCAGCTGCACCTGGCGTCCAGCACCCCATTCTAGGTTCACTGTCAACTACAGGCACAGCCAGAAGGGTGTAGGTTTCTCTTAGGGAGTCCAAGTCCATTGTTGCCACCTCTGACCCCTTGACACCAGGTCCTGGGAGCCAAGTCTTGAGCCCCAAAGAGCTCTGAGGAGCTCAGGTCTACAGAAGTGCCCTTTTTCCGAAAATAAACACCCTTCACTACGTAGGTACACATACACGCGCACAGGCACACGCGCGCCACACACACACACAGGGAAATGCTCCTATCTTTTATCTTCTAACATTAAATCCCTGGTCAGGATAACTCTTCAGTTCCAAGAAGTTGGGGGCACACACACAGTACACCCCGAGGCCCAAGACAGCAGGCTTGGGCCCAAGTTGCACTGTCCGGGGCTCAGCGGGGGGTGAGTCCCTGAGATGCCACTTACAAATAGGGCTGCTTCAGCCTGCCAGGAGGCTACAAGGCCTCTGCAACTCCAGGGATTGTGGGAGTCAAAAAAATCCTTTGTCTTGGTTCTGGGTGGGGAGCGGGACACCCCCAGATCCAGTGTCACAGGCACTCATTCCCAGGGGGACAGAGCAGCCTTCAGAGCCAGCAAGAAAGTTTTGAGGCTCAGAGCCCACCAGCTTTCTTTTCCAGGACAATGTGCCTCAGAAACCCCGGTCCCCTTCCCAGGAAAGGAACAATGACTCAGGCAGGTAGTGACAAGCCACCTGCCACTTGGGAAGCAGCTAGACTGAGGCCGAGGGTGAGTGGTGCTGGGTGAGATTCCCAGGGTTGGCGGAGGGGGGCGGTTGGGAGACCCAAGTGCCAGCGACTGCACTGAGACTTCTCCTTGGTGGGGGGGGGGTTAAAAGCAGCTGCCTTATATGAGATCAATGGAATGACTGTTCACATGGCCTATGTACCTCTTAAGTCCTGTTTAGGATGGAAACTGCTCTACACCCCCAAAGCTCTTTGGCCTAAAAACTCTAAACCTGTGTTCAAACCTTGGTGTTTCGTGGTTAATATCTAGCATCCTCTCTGTTACTCTATCTTGTGACGGGGCACTGTTTTGCGGCCTGGGTGGAGTTGAGTCACAGGGTGGCAGAGTCAGAACCTATTAGTCTAGGGATGTTGCTTTACAGCTCAGTACCCAAGGTCCATGAAAGCCCAGTAAGGGGCCTGAAGTTGCACAGCTGGCTAATGGAAGGGCTGGGACTTGAACTCATGGCTCTGTGGTTCAGTCCTTTGGCTAAAGGGTCCGTGAGTGCCACCCACAAAGAGGGTCTTAAACGTTTTGCTTCTGGGCTCTGGAGGCATCCAGGGTAGCTAGGGGGTTCCCTGCCAGTGGGGAGGGAGCAGGCACTGGCACACCATTCCTCAGCAGTCCCACCTCATTCAATCTGGCAGGTAGGTATGAAGCCGGGCCAACTGAGGAGAATGCATCAGGATGTAGGGAAGGAGAAAAAGGAGTTTAGGGGAACGAACAAGGAGAAAACAGTGGAAAAGAGATGGAATGAGAACACACGAACAAAGCAAAACTATTTCCTTTGTCTTAAGGTCCTGCTAACAAAACCGTCTCCATTAGATCGAGCAGTATCGCCATCTGGTGGTAACCGAGAGCAAACGCTTTAGAAAGCAATCGAAATGCTGGTCTAATCCAGCGATAAGCGTTTTCCCATGCAAAACCCACGGTTCCTCATCTCCCAGGAGGCGTAGCACTTGGCAGAGGACCACCTGTTTAGGCAGATCAGCCCCGGCAGGAAGCTGCACTGTCCGTGAACTCCAGGCCTCGAAGTATCCTCACTGGGTGTGAGTTGACAGGGCTTATAAGGTTTAGGCATAGGGGTAGATAGGGACCTTCGGGCTTTACAAGGCTCTAGTGGAGGAGCCTCACAGCCCCGTTCATAGCCAGCAGTCTTGCATCTGAGTTCCAGGTTCAAGGACAGGCCTCTGGGCAAAGCCTCTAGGTTATCACTGCCTAAGGGTGCCACTCCCTTCCCAAACTAATTTAGTCACCTGCATTCCAAGAGCTGCTCAGCCAGAAGAAGCCAGCGTCTGCTGCTCAAAGGAGCCAGAACAGAGAGGGTATTTTAGAAAACCAGCTGACAGTAATCATGAGGGCTATTATCTTATTGATCAAGGTCCAGCCATTTGCCAAGGTATATACACGTTTATTTAAAAAAGTTTACAGTTTTCATTATACACAACTATTAAGAGGTTATAGTCAGAGAAGGCATGTGTCCTGTTGACAGACATGCCTACTAGATCATCACAATGCAAGAAGAAAGGTGGAAGGGAGGAGACAGGGCAAGGAAAAATAAGCGATAAAAAGCTTCAGATTTCAGTTACGGGCTGGCAGTCCCTTTTATCTTTTCAAGTATCACACAATATGTACCAAATACAATCCATAAATAATGGCCATTTCTTCCCAAGCCCACAGCCAAGATGAGTGTTTGGCTAAGTTCAGAGCCCTGGCCCTTCCTCAGATGAGTGGAAAACCTGCGCACCAGAGGGCCGATTCCCCCTTCTCAAAGGGCTTCCTCCCACTCATCCCATCCCTAACAGAATCGCTGAGGTGTTAAGGGGCCAGAGAAAGCACAAACATGGATTCGGAAGTCCAAAGAAATGCAGTTCGTTGTGCCCAATCAGAGATATTTGATTTCATTCAACAAGGCTAGGAGCCCAGGTGGGAAGTCGATAAAAAATCTTGCTAACTTTTGTAAGTGGCTTTTACTTTTCTAAGTCACTGAAACAAGGATGGGCCATATGCCATTTAAAATCAAACACTAGTTCCCAGAGACTTGGTGTCTAGAAACGACCCATTGAGGCTAGCAGAGGATCTGTCTTTCATGATTCTCAGCCATCCCAACGGGAGGCCTAATATAAAGCATGTGCCAGGCCAATGCCAACTAGGACTTCTGGGGGCCTTTGGAGGGAAAAATGCCTTTGAGAGGAGACATTCCTCAGGAGCTTAGATCAGCCAGCTGGCAGTCAGAACAGCTTTTGAAGAGGATGAGAAATGTTAGGTACTGGAGAGATGATATGGCAACTCCTGATAATGACCTCACTAATATAAAATGCTGGTTGAAACTGCACAGTAACCTCAAGGAGGGTGATGAGATTGAAGACAAAGCCAAATGCCAGTGTCCAGGATGGCCACCACTGACCCTGTGCCCATAAGCCCCCGGTGCTGGGGCTTCCAGAGGGAGCCTAAGGGCGGTGGATTCAATGTTGCCAGGTTGCAACCATCTTGCTTGTTGGTGTTTGGCAAGAGCTTGAGCTCAGTTATGCGAACAGGGGCGAAGAATGGCTTGTGCTGGTAAAACATGAGGATCCAAAAACTATGGGCACTAAAGCACTAAAAAGGGGAGGGAAACCGCCAGAAGTGGCTCTGACCTGCTGCCGCTGCCACCACCTCTAAAGCCAAGAATGTACAGCCTCTGCCCAGGGATCTGGATGCTCTTCTGAGTGTTGGAAGGGCAGCCTGGAAAGGCATCTGGTGGTGAAACACCCCTGCTCCAGACTTACGCTACCATCTATTGTAGGGGGCCCAGAGTCCTCAGATTTACTGCCAGGCCTTCTTCCAGATCTTTCTGTACCTGTATGTTTTGGGTTCCTACTCACACCTCTCCCAGGCGCAGGGAAGGGACAAAAAGCATGAGAAGAGACTCTGTTCAACCCAGCAAAAGTCAGTTTCCCAGCGGAGAGGCGAAGCCCCACCCAGAATGTAAACATGCATGGGACCAAGGTTGGTGCCCGGACAGGACAGACTTGCACAGAGCAAGAGGACATAGTGGGATCTATGCGGCAATTACAGGAGCTTCCAGCGCTAAGAGAGGAGCCTTATCCCACCTTCATCATACAGACTTAGATGGACACTCTCTCGCTCACACTCTCTTCGCACGTGTGCACACATATACACACACACACACACTCTGCAGCCACACTCAAATCTGCTTAACTCCTACAACCTCCCCCAGTAGGTCATTTGACAATTCTGCACCTTCCGCTCTCTGGTGCTGGGGCTCTGGTCAGAGGTGAGCCAATGTCTTATCATTAGAGAGATGTGGGATTAGGTAAGGGGCAGAGCCATGACACTGCTCACACACCTTCCCAAAACTGGGGTCTACTCGGTTTTTTGACAAGATCAAAAGCAATTCTTAACTGGTCATTATTTTTTTTAAGGTAATTAGAACACTATTGTTTATACAATATTGAAAAAATACAATTTTTTATTGTTTGAACTCAAATCACCACCCAGCACTTTAAGCCTACCCTAAATAGCACCTACAATAAATGTCATAGCACAAGCAAACTGCAAAGTCAGCAGGTAAGCAAGTTAGACAGTGCCAGCAGAGACCCTCCCTCCCCCAAAGCAATGAGAAGACAGCGTGCTAGGTAAGAGTGAAGTACACCATTACATGTTAAATAGTTAATACTACCCTTCCAGCAAGCCACAGATGCTAGATGGATAACTCAGTACGGTTAACTAACCACAGCCCTACATCACTGCACTTTTTTTTTTTTTTTTTTTAAAGAAAACCTTTTGCTTCATGCCCGTAATTAACATAAATGTAAAGTAAATTCTTTGTCTTTTTATTTAGGAAAATAATCATGCTAAAAGCAAGTTGTACTTTATATAGATTTTCAAAGAAAAGATTGATTGTGCTTTTTGAATAAAAAAAGAGAGGGTATCTTCCAACCTCACTGACTTAAACCTTGTGGAATACAGCACTTCTAAACTAAAAACACACGTCAAAAAGAAAAATTAAATAATCCCAGTGGGATGCTCAAAAATCGTCTTTAGAAGGTTTTAGGATTGGCTAATTCTGCTATTATCTTATTGGCTGCGGCAAAAAAATACAGAGCTGCTGTCTAAAATTTCTCCAAACTCCCCTCCAAGTTCAGCAGGCAACACTGAGATTTGAAAGAAACTCTGCAGCAACCTGGACATATGGTTAGCTGAGTCGACATTTGATTAGCAGGCATTTTAAACTGATTTCCTCTTAACATACACAGGAGAGAAAACATTTTCTTCCTGCAAGGCATGTTCTACAACATTGTATTTCTGAATCCCTTCTTCCTATTCGGTCACTCTCTGAAAAAAGTTGGTTTGTTTTTCCCATGTAGAATCACTCTGGGTACAAAAACCTTTATTTGTTCCAATTATTATTCGTTTTAAATTTGGAACCTGTGTTGGGTCTAAAATACCCATTTCCCACTCCCACAAGCAGATGATGACCAGGCTGCTGCCAAGAGCAGCAGAAAAAGGGAAAACCAAACCAAAACACCCAAGTACCCAGGGCTTTGCATTACCACATGGGTCTTCTTCTCAAGTCTAATGGTCCATGAGCGGCTTGTCCAAGGAGGCAGCCGCCTCTTGGTAGGTGAAGATGAAATCTGCAACCTTTCTAAGCACAACACACACACACACACCAAAAAAAAAATAACCCCCCGAAAATACAACCCTCTTATTTAAAGCTCGTAAGTTCAGGGTAGCGGTCTCAAACTGCCAAACACTAGGACGAGGATGTGACTCTGCATGTGTTTTGGATGAGAGGAAGCATCGTCCCAGTCACTTTTCTCCTCCTGTGCTGTCCTTTCAAAAACAGGTCTGGATTACAAGTTCTACCCCAAGAAAAAGAACCGGTTCAGAAAATACTTCTCCAAGTTTCTCCAACAGAACACTGTGGCTGCAGGGCCTGGTAGTGTGAAGGGCAGGAACTGACATATAAAAATGTACTTAAAATCAGAGTCAAAAAAATGGTTTTACGTTTTAATACTCTAATTAACTCCCTGTTTTATATACTGTAACTCCACAGAAGACATAGGGCCACCTAGGATTCACAGGAAGGAGCGGCTCTGATTCTTATGTGGCTGGCTCTAATGCCCCCACAGCAGGCCTCTTCCTCCCCAAGTTTTTCCTTTCCATTTTGAAAAAGCACTATTTTATCTTCACATCCAAGAGCTGGTTGGTTTGGTTTGTTTCTTTGGAACCATCAATACAAGAAGCGATTTTTTCCTGTTCTTTTTACTCATGTCTACCTATCAGAGCGGCTATTTCCTTTGACAGTTCAGTAGCACACAGGCTGACTTGGCCACATGGACTCATGAATGCATGCATTCGGACCGCATATTGCTACCAAATGGAATGTGGGAATATGCTATGCACCTCAGGTTGAGAAATGACCAAGAAATCAAGATCTAAAGGGTGATATATAATATATATATATCAATGCTATTATTCATAAAAACCTTGTTTAGTAATAAAAAAAATTGCTTTGTTTAAATATGAATATTATAGTCTGCTTCTCATGGTTAGGAAATAATAGTCTTTCTGAAAAGCAGGTGCTTTTTCTACTACAACTCCATATCCTGGGCCTCATCTTCGGAAAAGTCAGACATAGAGCTCTCCGATGAGCTGTCCCCGGTGCCCTCTTCCTGTTCTTTCAGTGCCTCCTCCGTGGCATATTTCTGGATGTACTCTGCACCGGGTGGGAGAAAGACAACAAGGGCAGTGAGTGGCTAGGCATGTGCTTGGCGACCCCAAAAAGCTGGCAAGGCTGGGGAGGTTCAAACTTACCTTGAACACCGGGGGGACAAAGATGACAGTAATCATGGTCACTACAGCTAAGGGGAATCCCACAAGGAGACTTCTTTGGGACAGGGTTTCTGCATTTTGCCCCCTGAGGGAAGGGATATTGGGAAGAGCAACACAGCAGGCTCAGCTTGCAGGGGAATACGTGCGCTGCAGCACCCCAATAACTCTTCAGGGACGGGGGAAATGGGAGCCCCATGCTTTCTTTTTACTTTCACCTCCCAGATAGTACAGACAGGACTAGTCATGATTCCATAGTAATTTTATAAGGAAATCCCCCATCATTTTTAGATCTGCAGTTACATCATTACAGTCAGCCCAGGTCTATTATTTTAGGAATCGATTTTAGTCTAAACAGATCCTGCCTGTCAGGTTTTTGAAACAGCTGGCAAAACCATCGCTCAATCTGCTCAGGACTAAGCTGCTATATGGAGACACCACTTGGCTCTGGGTGGCTTTTCCATGTATAATTTACCTGAAGGTAGATTTCCACTGCTACAGCCTTGGTGGAACCCTAGGCTGAATAAGACTGCTGAAACTGCTTTTAAGAACTGCTGAATAAATAAACTTGTTCCTAAAAACTCTGTTTTCAAGTGAATAGCCTACACACAATAGGAAAAGACAAGACAGAAACCTATTCAAAATGCAAGCCACACAAAAACACACCCTTGTGGCTTTGTTTTTCCTCCTATAGAGTTGCAGGGACTCACTGCAACAGGAAGATAAGCGGAATGGCCAAATGGGCCTACCGGATTTGAATAACTAGCACAGGGCCTAGCTAAGAATGTTTTTATATTTTAAAGATTGTCTTAAAAAAATAAACAGAACGTGTGATAAAGGCCACATCTGGCCAATGTGGTCCTTTACAGAAAAGGTTTGCAGACTTGAGACTTAGAGCCCTTCAAATTCATTATAACAAAACTTTATGCTAATGATTTTGATGAGATTAAAGTAGCCCATGATTAGGTAGGAATTTACCTTAATTTACATTTTTGAGTGAAATAAATGTTTATTCAAACTTTAACAATTTTATTTTTAACCTCTAATGGGTTGGCTATTTTGCATCTTCCTTTGTAGAAGCTACATACTGACATTGTTTTTTTGACACTAGAATTTGATACTATCAGCCCTCTTTAATATATTCAAGGAAACAAATGTGTATTAAGTACTTAGGACAAGGCCTTTGGGATAGGGAAAGGAAAAGTGAGGTCACCAATGAGGAGGAGGAAACAGAGGAAGATAAAAGGAAGGAGCTGCTAAGTGTCACCAGAGGGAAGCAGTTACAGAAGAAAAACGGCTGAGGCAGTCCCAGCCACACTGACCTCCAAGTCCTGGCAGCTACGACATAGCAGAGGTCACTCCAGGGAAAGGCTTTGCTTTGCTGAAAGTAAGTGGCTGGGATGCTTAAACACAACCTTAAGAGAGAACTATGGCCAGGTGCAGCGGCTCAAGCCTGTAAACCCAGCACTTTGGGAGGGTGGGTATATCACCTGAGGTTAGGAGTTCGAGACCAGCCTGGCCAACATGGTGAAGCCCCATCTCTACAAAAATACAAAAAACTAGCCGGACGTAGTGGCACACGCCTGTAATCCCAGCTACTCGGGAGGCTGAAGGAGAATCACTTGAACCCGGGATGCAGAGGCTACAGTGGGCTGAGATCGCACCACTGCACTCCAGCCTAGGCAACAGGGCAAGACTCCATCTCAGAAAAAAAAAAAAAAAGAGAGAGGGAGAGCTATATTTGAGACCTTTTCTCAAAAAAAAAAAAAAAAAAAAAAAAAAAAAGGAGTAAAGGCAAAGAGGTAGATTCCACTCAGTATCAGAGAGCCCTGAATGGCAGGCAAAGATGTCACCCAGCAAAGGGTTCTGAGCAGGGAAGTGACAGCTTTAGACAGCTCCAATGGTGCCCAGTGCTATGGGCTATCCAATATTTAAACACATTTTCAGACATGCACTACAAGACACTGCCAACTAAATATGAACGCTGACTGTGTTAGGTGTGTTGAGTTGGTGGTGACTGCCACACAAATGGAAATGTCCAGCAGCAGCTTGGGAGAGAGGCCAGGCCTAGACACACACATTGAGAAATCATCTCCCTGGAGGGGACTGACTGAAGCTGTGAGAGGTGAAGCAGGTCCCCAGGGGTGAGAGGAAGAGACGGAGCCCAGGGACCAAGTCCTAAGTGAATGACCACATTTAGGAAACGGAATGAGAATTTTCCAGAAAGGTTAGGGTAAAATATAACACTTGCAGAGAGGTCCAGCAAAATGGAACCTGAGAAGAGTCCAAAGGATTGGGAAGAAATGAGGGCACAGATTAAGCAGAGGAGGGGAAAAAAATTAGAGGAGTTTACAGTGAGGATGCAAGTTTGAAAATGAAAGGGAATAAACAGCATGACTCCTAAGGGAGCCCACAGGAGCAGATCACCGCTTCTGAAACAGGGAGACCTCTGGCAGGTGCAGGAGGAAGACTGCGTTGGGAGGGGCGGGGGGTTGGGGAAACAAGATCACAGGTTGGTGGTGGGAGTGAGTTTGAGAAATGAGGAAGGGTGTCTCTTATTTCCCACAGGAACAAAGAAAAGATGTAGGCGGGAGGGGAGAAGACATCAAGGTACAGTAGGAACTGGGGGTGAGCTCAGGTCTGATGGCCATGATTTTCTCAGATTTCTAAGAAAGACAAAATGATAGCCAACGTGAACATTTCCTAAGGCCGGGGGTCCGTACCCTGGAGTGAGCCATTCTAAGATAAATGCAGGCTCGGTTCTTTTTGTAAATGGGACTATAGCAGATATGTACTGAAACAGGGCTACTGCTAAATTGTTGAGACGGAATGCATATGTGAACTAGAGAAATATACTCTGCTCCAAGATATCTGTGGTTTGCAGACATTGCTAAGTGATTCCTATTTCAAAATTTTAATATAGTCTCATAATAGCACTTTATCTGGCTGAAACTGCCTTTTTCTTCAAATACATGTTTGCTCAGCTATATATTTTGCTACATAAATTAGATATTAATTTGCAAAGCACTTGAGATCTACTTAATTATAGTAAATTTATTTCTGCTTTATCTCAACAAAAGCTCCAAACAATACCCTATAGAGACCTTGGAAGAAGAATTAGAAAACAAACAGAAGAAAAGCTATTGTTTCATGAATAGTCCCTGTTTGCCTCATACCTGCACATTTCAGAGTGAAGACCTGCACATTCAAGCTCTGGTAAATTACTTCTACTGCCACCTCTTGCAAATGTACCTCAGATAGGCCACACATTTTGAGGAAGCCAACATTCTGGACTGCTATGCAGACGGGCCCATCATGTGAAAAATGGGCTAGATACTAATACCTGCCATTGGTTAAAAACAGCAGGTATATTACACACTTTGAATTCCTTTGCTTCTTGGTGGAGCTTCATGTATCTAGACTTTTCACTATGAAAAGTAACAGAGGTAAAATGGACAATCCAATGAATTCAGGTGGAGTTTTAGATTTTTTTTTTTCTTTTTTAAAGACAGAATCTTGCTGTCACCCAGGCTGGAGTACAATGGTACAGTCTAGGCTCACTGCAACCTCTGCTTTCCGGTTCAAGCAATTCTCCTGCCTCAGCCTCCCGAGTAGCTGGGACTACAGGCACGTGCTGCCACACCCAGCTAATTTTCGTACTTTTAGTAGAGATGGGGTTTCACCACGTTGGCCAGGCTAGTCTCGGCCTCCTGACCTCGTGATCCGCCCGCCTCAGCCTCCCAAAGTGCTGGGATTACAGGCGTGAGCCACCATGGCCAGCTATATGTTCTTTCGCAAACTTATCTTCATTTAAATCAAACTCACATCCCATCAGCATGTAAACTGTTTCAAGAATGGGAAAATAGGATTCTAAATCCTAAAGGATGAGCAAACTGGTGCTACTACCACCCGAGGTTGGTGAGTGCTACTTCAGCCCACAGCTGTCTCTTTTTAGGCCCGAGAAAAAGTATTAGGAACTAAGTAATTTAAGAAGGACTTTTAACGACTGAAGCCCAACAGATTTAAGTTCTTTTGTTTCTAGGTAAACTACGCACCCTCTTACCTTTAATTTTCTGCTTGTATTCTTCTGGTCGGTGGAGGTACATGGCTGCAGCGTCACCATTGAGAGGATCTATGGGGTTAGGATAGGCCAACAACTGGGGCAGGAAGGACTCAAATATATTGGTAAGATCTGAAAAACCAGACAGAAACATGTCATGTACAGGAAATACAAGTTCACCTAAAATTCACCTGCATTCAGTAGTCAAGCTGCTTACCTTCTTAGATATTTAACTACATGGGGATGATTCTCCATACAAGTGTGCTCTAGTACATGTGACCTGTATTACACATTCATTTCAATACCAATTAAAATTTTTAATTTTAATTTGAAGAACGAGATAAAGATATACCTGATACTCACTTTGAAAGACAATTTTCCCAATTCTATTTCACTCTATTTCTATGGCTATTTCACATAGCCATTTTCTACAGCTTACAAAACCCCCCACTGTGAAAGGTATTCAAATGCTGGGTCTTAAAAGAATTGAAGATAGTTTTTTTTGTTTGGTTTGGTTTGGTTTTTTCGCTCTGTTGCCCAGGCTAGAATGCAGTGGTGCAATCCCGGCTCACTACAACCTCTGCCTCCAGGTTCAAGCGATTCTCCTGCCTCAGCCTTCCAAGTAGCTGGCACTACAGGCACCTGCCACCACGCCTGGCTAATTTTTGTATTTTTAGTAGAGATGGGGTTTCACCATGTTGGCCAGGATGGTCTCGAACTCCTGACTTCAAGTGATCTGCCAGCCTCGGCCTTCCAAAGTGCTGGGATTACAGGTGTGAGCCACTGTGCTCAGCCTTGAACACAATTTTATAGGACTTGACATTTAATTTAATTCTTGCAACTTCTAATGGAGGTAAATACAACCAATTTTTCAACTATTCTGGGTAATGAGGATAGGAATTATATGGACCACATAAAACCACAAATATTCAAAAGACAGATAAGCACCAATCTACTACATTTATTTATTTAAAAAAGATTTTTTTGAGAGAGGATCTCACTCTGTTGCCCAAGTTGGAATGCACAGGTGTGATCATACCTCACTGCAACTTCAAACCCCTGGGCTCAAGCCAACCTCCCAGCCTCAGGCTTCCAAGGAAATTGGACTACAGGCATGTGCCACTATGCCCAGCTAAATTTTTTTTTTTTTTCTTAATAGAGACAGGGTCTCCCTATGCTGCCCAGGTTGCTCTTGAACTCCTGGACTCAAGTGATCCTTCCATCTTAGCCTCCCCAAGTGCTGGGATTACAGACGTGACATTTATTAACTCCTTTCTTGCCAGGCATACACAGATGATATCTACACACAGTTAGCAAACAACAAACACCTGCAATTACCCAGCGTTTTAGAAAAGCAGGCCCTGAGAACCTGGATATAACACAACCCACATGCCCCACAGCTCAGAGATGCTGTAACTTCCACTCTCTGCTCCTCAGTGAACTGTGGCACCCCTGAGAAATAGAAGGACATGAGAACGCTTCCATGACTCTGCCCCACTCCAGCGACTTTGTCATGTTTTATATCAAACATTCCTGTTTCTGCAGACAATGCTGAAGTATACTAAGTAGCATACAAAACTACTCGTTAATTTAGTCAACTCTTTCAACACATTTTTCTTTTAACAATGGGCGCTCCTCTGCAGTATTACAGACGAATGCTTCGCCAAGCCACACTGCTTGAGATCTGTGGTTCTCAGGCAGGGGTGATTTTGCTCCCCATAGAATTTGGCAATGTCTAGAGACATTTTTGGTTGTCATATCTAAGGGGTGCTACTGGCATCTGGTGGGTGAAGGCCAGGGAAGCTGCCAAACACCTACAACGCACAGGACAGTCCCACAACAAACGATTATCTAGACCAAAATGTCTTCAGTTCTGAGGTTGAGAAACCCTGATCTAGATAAAAGGGGTAGGCAAACCTTTTTGTAAAGGGTCAAATACTTTTAGGCTTTGCAGGCCATATATGGTCTCTGTCGTATCTATTCAAAACTCAGCTCTGCCACTGTTAACACAAAAGCAGCCAGAGTATAGGTCAACAAATCAATGTGGCTGTATTCCTATAAAACTACACATACAAAAACAAGTACCCAAGGTCTGCCCAACTTTGCTCTAGAAAATCTTACCTAAGAGGTGGCTCTTACCACTTGTAAGGTTAAGAAGCTGAGCAGTTAGAGAATAATCTAGAGCTGTGTTACTCAACCAAACTTTCTGCAGTGATAAAAACGTTTTATATGTGCCCCATCTAAATCAATAGTCACTAGCCACAAGTGGCTACTGAGCACTCAAAATATGGCCAGTGTGAATAAGGAAATTAATTTTCAGTTTATTTAATTCTAATTAAATTTAAATAACCACAAATGGCTAGTAGATCCTGTATTGGACAGTGCAGGTCTAGAGAATGATGGGCTAGAGGGCCCCATGACAGCTACCACGTCCTGTTCTCACACACCAGGTATTGACATAGAGCAGCTCTGCCTTATAACAAAAGCCACAGACTTGGGGTGATTTCATCAGGGTTTATTTCACCTTCATAAGGCTGACTTCAGAACAGTCCTAAAGAGCCACTTTATAGTAAGGTTCTCATGTACCACGAAAGAAATGCTGACACTCTTAATCAAAAAAGCAAAACAAAAATCACCTTCCTAGACAACCCCCAAACTATCTGCAGTAAAATTTTCACCGATGTTTCATTTATATATTTTTAAAAAAGGGAAACAAGGCCGGGCGCGGTGGCTCAAGCCTGTAATCCCAGCACTTTGGGAGGCCGAGGCGGGTGGATCACTAGGTCAGGAAATCGAGACTATCCTGGTTAACATGGTGAAACCCCGTCTCTACTAAAAATACAAAAAACTAGCCGGGCGTGGTGGCGGGCGCCTGTAGTCTCAGCTACTTGGGAGGCTGAGGCGGGAGAATGGCATGAACCCGGGAGGCGGAGCTTGCAGTGAGCCGAGATCACGCCACTGCACTCCAGCCTGGGAGCACAGCGAGACTCCGTCTCAAAAAAAAAAAAAAAAAGGGAAACAATTATTATGGTACAAAACCATTGAAAACTACTTGTTGAAACAATGTACTTGTTTCAACTACAATGAAAACAAGTAGTTTTCAATGGAAAAAAATGCTTATACTTGAATGCTAGGTAGAGAAAGGCCATAAAATGGTATGTTTTCTAGAACTACAACTATGTACAGTGTGTATGCATAAGACGAACATTTTAAAAAGCTACGTCAAGGCAATAGGTGTGTAACTTGTACTTTTCACATTTCAAATGACATTTCTTTTGCCTTTAAAAATCATTTTTGGCTCACGTCTGCAATCCCAGAACTTTGGGAGGCCAAGGTGGGTGGATCACATAAGGCCAGGAGTTCGGGACCAGGCTGGCCAACATGGTGAAACCCCGTACCTACTAAAAAACACAAAAATTAGCTGGGCATGATGGCGCGCACCTGTAGTCCCAGCTACTTGGGAGGCTGAGGCAGAACTGCTTGAACCTGGGGAGGTGGAGGTTGCAGTGAGCCGAGATTGCACCACAGTACTCCAGCCTGGGTGAATGAGTGAAACCCTGTCTCAAATAAATAAATAAAATAAAAATAACATTTTCCTGTAAATATGTCCTTTCTATTTTGGTGTATGTTTGAAATATCCAATAAAACATGAAAAGTCTGAAAATGTTTTTATTTTCTTATCTTTATCCTTGGGTGGGTGAGTTATTAAGGCAGTGGTAGAAAATGCCAAAAGGTAAGCAAATTAAGTTTTATAGGCCAGACACAGTGGCTCACAACTGTAACCCCAACACTTTGGGAGGCTGAGATGGGTTGGATCACCTGAGGTCAGGAGTTTGAGACCAGCCTGGTCAACATGGTGAAATCTCGTTTCTACTAAAAATACAAAAATTGGCTGGGTGTGGTGGCAGGTGCCTGTAATCCCAGCTACTTGGGAGGCTGAGGCAGGAGAATTTCTTGAACCCAGTGAGCCGAGATATGCGCCATTGCACTCCAGCCTGGGCAACAAGAGCAAAACTCCATCTCAAAAAAACAAAAACAAAAACAAAAAATAAAAGTTTTACAATTTAATGTGATCCCAGAACAGGGAAGAGTCAAACAATAGTTACATTAACAGTAATTTTTTTTTTTTTTTGAGACGGAGTCTTGCTGTCACCCAGGCTGGAGTACAGTGGTGAGATCTCCACTCATTGGAAGCTCCGCCTCCCGGGTTCACACCATTCTCCTGCCTCAATCTCCCCAGCAGCTAGGACTACAGGCGCACGCCGCCACATCCAGCTAATTTTTTTGTATTTTTAGTAGACATGGGGTTTCACCGTGTTAGCCAGGATGGTCTCGATCTCCTGACCTTGTGATCTGCCCACCTCAGCCTCTCAAAGTGTTGGAATTACAGGCGTGAGCCACTGCGCCTGGCCCATTAACAGTAATGGCAGGTTAATGCTTACATAGTGCTTACTACAAGCAAGGCACTCTTCCAATGAGGTAGGTACCATTTTACAGATGGAGAAACTGAGGCACGCAGAGCTTACGTATGGATCTGGAACTCAAACCTGAGCTCATCCATTATGCTGCCTCTGCTAATGGATAAAACACACACTGCCCCAACTTTCACGAAGGCACAAGCTCCCCGTGTCTCTAGGTGAAAAATCGCACACCATCGTTGGCAGGGAAGCTAAATCCATGGATGAGAGATGATCACATCCTCCCGAAAGAATCTCTCATAAGTGCAAAGAAGGATGCTAAGCAAAGGATGTTCAGGTGTTTCTGTGGCTATTCACAGAGGCCATGTGCTTGTTTCCACACCACTCCACCGCAGGAGGCAACCCGCAGACACCCACACACCGTGAACGGAAGGCTCCTCCTGCCATATTATTATTACAGGTGCTGCTCAAAAGGATTAGCAGCTGGATGCTATTACGTAACAACAAAAACCTTTAAAAACAAAGCATAGGTTTTATGTTCTGAAGTAATGTTCAGAAGTGCTTCAGGGCTAGAGAAATATTACAGATAACATGTTATAAAACTAGGAGCTTCACGTGTCCCAGAAAGATATTTTATACCCTTTCCTACTACTTTTAAGTTTCCTCAAGCTACCAATAAAAGGCTTTGCCTATGAATTTGTTCCAAACAAATAA